TACAAAAAGTCTTGACTTCTTTTGCCGACAATGGCTTCATGTCATTGCCTTCATCAGAAACCTCATCAAGATTCCCGAATACCACGGTCTTATCCGCACAATTTAACATCACATGATTATTCGACAACCAGTCCATCCCCAAAATTAGATCCAACTAGGTTAGTGGTAAGCAGATCAAATCAACGGTAAAAGTTCTACCGTTTACTACTACTGGACATCGAGACACAACTGTCGATACCACCACAGGCACATCAGTTGGGGTGGACACGACCAAGTCGAAAGGCAACGACTCCGTTTGTAATTTTAGTCTATCCACGCAGTCATTAGATACAAAGGAGTGTGTCGCTCCCGAATCAAACAACACTAAAAGAGGAAAACCTGCCACCATGCAATTACCTTTGATCAGACCATCAACATCGGATGTCTCTGCACCACTCATGGTGAATACTCTGCCAGCAGCCCGAGGTTGATCAGCTCTCACAGCATTTACACTCTTTGTTAGCTTAGGACAATATCTTTTGGTGTGCCCAACCTCCTTGCAGTAGTAACAGGTAAGCATCGTTTCGGGGCATGAGTCACCCATATGTGTTCGGCCACACTTGCAGCATCTGGGTGGAGAGTTCAACTGTGACCCTCCGGCGTTACCATGAGTCTTCAGCCCAGGTGAAATATTCCCTCAACTACCCGTCGGAGGAGAGTAAGGCTTTCGTTCCTCTTGAAACATCTTCCATTTTCCTTATCCGTGGGAGAAGTTTCGTTGAGGGCCATAGTGTTTTGGAGGGTTATCTTTCTTCGCAGCAATGTCCCTCCTCCGCACATTATTCTCATACATCCTACACTTGTTCACTAGTGTAGGAAAATCAGAAATTTCTTCGTGACCAAATGTCACTCGGAGCTCGGGCCTCAACCCCTTCTCAAACTTCACACACTTGGACCTCCCGTCCAACTCTAGTTCAGCATAGGGGCAGTACCGGATTAACTCTTCAAATTTGGCCGAATATTCCCCCACAGTCATGTTTCCCTGCTCTGACTGCAGAAATTCTCTCTCCTTCTCCCTCTTAAGGTCTGTAGGAAAGTACTTCTGGAGGAATTTACTCTTGAAGGCTTCTCACGTAATGATTTGCCCCTCGATCTCCATTTGTCTCCGGGTCATCTCCCACCAATTCTCTGCCTCCTTCACCAGCACGTAGGTAGCATAGGCCACTCTCTGAGCATCAGAACAGCTCATGGCCCTGAATATTCTTTCCAAGCCTTGAACCCATTCAATGGCCGCATCCGGAGTGAATCCACCTTGGAACTGACTGGGTTGTCTCCGGCAGAATTCGTCCAGACCTCGGTATTCCGTCGGCCCAGGTGGAACTAGTGGGTGGGAACTCGGACTTGACGCCGGATTTTGGTTCAGATTGTGCAAGTTCTCATTGACCTGCTGCAATGCCGCCACCATTTGCGCTAATAAATCATTCGGAACATTCTGACTTGCTCCTCTTCCTCTTCCTCTTCCAGCCATGAGTACCTGTACTCACTCAATTGTTATTAATCGAATCGTATAAATATAGTGCACACAACACTTAACATTTAGCCTCATTCAAACAACTGCAACACATAAGGATACAAAGAAGCATGCAAGGTCATACCCTAGGTCGCAGGATTAACTATGCTCTGATACCATATTGTAAGGACCGAAATTATGCCCTTGAAATTTTTTTCTCGATCTAGTTCAATTACATGCCTTTTCTCCTATCTCACATTGCCAATTTAATATCTTTACTTCAAATCTTATTTCCCTCTTCGCAATCTATCTCAATATAACATACAAAATCATTCGACAGAAAAACATAATTCGCATTAATTAAACTTTGTAACGACCGCATATAATTAGCTATAGGTTTCCAAAATACTCATAGCTATACATATCCAGAGTTACACGCCATGTAAGTTAGTATATGTTCGTAATTACATAAGGTATGAACTATCAAATATGCACTCATGTACAAAAATAGTGCAAATAAATGAATCCAAAATATAGCGCTCCTAAATCTCCCAAAAATATATCACCTATTTATCTGCAATGGGATTATCAATGAAAAAACACAGAACACGCAAAGGAGTAAGTCATTAATTCAATAAACATCATTTTAAGATAATCCACAAAAATAAAAGGGTTAGTAACCATCTTTGAAATTCATTTTTGTTTTGCTGCATAACTTGATCCAAAGTCATTATACCCCTTAGGGTTAGCTAAAAGCAGATTCTCATTTTTTTTCTTAAAACAAAACGTGCTTATATACTCAAGCCAGAGTTTTGCTTATATACTCAAGCCAGAGTTTCGCTTATATACTCAAGCCAGAGTTTCGCTTATATACTCAAGACAAAGTTTCACTTATATAGAGTTTCGCTTATATACTCAAGCCAGAGTTTCGCTTATATACTCAAACCAGAGTTTCGCTTATATACTCAAGCCAGAGTTTTGCTTATATACTCAAGCCAGAGTCGCTAACCATTCTTGGTCGGCTAAGAATACATTTCCCTTTCATAATTTCACCATAAAACATTTCCGGCAAATCCACGCTCACATTAGTATAAACACACCCATATATGTTTATACTAATTACGTGATTCACAAATCAATCAATCACATAACTAGAAGTACACATACTTGCTTTTCCGTAAACCTACGCCTGCTTTAATATAAACACACCCATATATGTTCATACTAAATGCGTACTTTACAACTCAATCTTTACATAATCAGAGAATACACATTTTTGAGTTCAAATGTACAATTAAAGACTTATCCTTACCTCGGTGAGTGTTGGGTTTGGTTCTTGGCAACTTCTCAAGTTCCACCGACACCGCCTCCAACCTTAGGATCTTTCCTCATCCCACCACATAACACAATGTTAGTCATTTATTCCAAATATCACATAAACAACTTATATTGCACCATTTAGTCATACAAAATATTCATCATAAATATTCAATCATCTAAAACATGCATAACATCTCATATTCCAATATTTAGAGGTAAACTCATCTTCTACCTCTAGCATTTTACTCATTCTCTCCTTTTACCACGTTTTCACTTTTAGGGTTTTTGGGGTTTTCATGAATCGACCCACAACCCTTTCCATTCTTTAGATACTATCTCTAAACCAAGAGTTTACAAGGTAATAATGACTTAAAATGAACCACCACCCAAAAGGATGAGTTTCCATGGTTTTTCTTCATTTTTTAGAAGAGATCCAACATACCCAAAGTGAGTTTAAGAGAGAAAAAGAGAGTTAGAGTCTAGAGTTTTACCTCTTCTCAAGCTCTTAGAGGAGTATCCAAGCTTTTTGCCCTTGAAAAGCTCTCTTCTCTCACTCCTCTTCTTTTCTAAACCCTAGATTGTGTTTAGGGGTTTTTCATTAAATGCTGTCTCATCGGGTTCTCGCTTAAGCGAGGGATTCTCGCTCAAGCGAGAAAATCCCGCCCATTTTAAAAACTCAAATCTGACCCTCTCGCTCAAGCGAGGGATTCTCGCTCAAGCGAGAATATCACAGTGGCAACAGCTCCAAAATGACATTTCTCACCTAGGCGAGACAACTCTCGCTCAGGCGAGAATCCTCCAGTATATCCCAAGATTTCACCCTCCCAGATGAACCTCTCTTGCTCAAGCGAGAGTCCGAGGGCTGATACTATGATTTTCAAGACTTGAATTTTGGGGTGTTACATTCATGAAAGTAATTCCGACTACCAGAATTGATAGGGTGTTGAAGTCTCGCAAGCTAACTCCGAGATTTATTGGACCGTATCAAGTATTGAAAAGGATTGGGCCGGTAGCATATCGGATTGCTTTGCCTTCGTTGTTGTCGAACCTTTATGATGTGTTTCATGTGTCTCAGTTAAGGAAGTATGTTGGAGATCCATCTCATGTGGTAGAATCTGATCAGATAGAGTTGAAGGATAACTTGACCTTTTCGACATTGCCCGTGAGGATCATGGATACCAGTATCAAGAGACTAAGAGGTAAGGAGATTCCTTTGGTGAAAGTACTGTGGAGCCAAGTAGACGAAGGGGATGCTACTTGGGATATGGAACGTGACATGAGGGAGGATTACCCTCATTTGTTCGAATCGAGGTATGTTTAATTTTCGGGGACGAAAATTCTTATAAGAGAGGGAGGATTGTAACACCCTAAATTTAAGTCTTTAAAATTATAGTATCAGTCCTGGAAGTCTCGCTTGAGCGAGAGATCCTCGCCTAGGCGAGAAATGCTCACCTGGGAGGGTGAAATCCTGGGCTATACTGGAGGATTCTCGCCTGAGCGAGAGTTGTCTCGCCTGGGCGAGAAATGGCATTTTGGGACTGTTGAGACTGTGAGATTCTCGCTTGAGCGAGAGGGTCAGATCTGAGTTTTTAAAATAGGCGGGATTTTCTCGCTTGAGCGAGAAAGGGCTCGCTTAAGCGAGAACCCGACGCTGTTACATTAAATAGGGGACCCAAACACATTTATGAGGGTTAACCTAGAGAGAAGTGAGAGAAGGTAGCATTTTTCAAGAGCAAGAAGGCTTGTGAGTCATTTAGAAGCTTGAGAAGAGGTAGATCTCTTGATTCTAACTCTTTTCTTCCCTTTGAAACTTGTTTTGGGTATGTTGGATCTCTTCTCAAAATGAGAGAAACCATGGAAACTCACCCTTTTGAGTTATGGTTCATTTTATGTCATTTTATCTTGTGAACTATTGGTATAGAGTTAGTATTTCTAGAAAGGAGAGGGTTTGTGGGTTTAGTCATGAAAACCCCAAAACCCTAAAAGGAAAATGGGTAAAGTGCTAGAGGTAGAAGATGAATAAGCTTTCTAATGTTGAAATAGGAGATGAATATGTATGTTTTAGATGTTGTAAACTTTTGATGAAAGTAGTTTAGCAACATGGAACATGTGTTAAATATCTTGTGTGGTTAAATAATGCAATATGAGTTGTTTATGTGATATTTGGAATAAATGACTAACATTGTGTTGTATGGTGATAATGGGAAAGATCCTAGAGTTGGCGGCAGTGTCGGTGGAACTAGTGCAGTTACCAAGAACTCAACCCAACACTCACCAAGGTAAGGAGGAGTCTTTAAATAGCATATGGAAATGGGTAATATGTGGATTTTCTGATTGTGTATAATGATAAAGTGATGAATCGACTTTGCATAATTGGTTAGCGACTTTGGCTCAAGTTATGTAGCGATGTTTTGGCTCAAGTTATGTAGCAAAACTTTGGCTCAAGTTATGTAGCGATACTTTGGCTCAAGTTATGTAGCGATGCTTTGGCTCAAGTTATGTAGCGATGCTTTGGCTCAAGCTATGTAGCAAAAATTTGGCTCAAGTTATGTAGCGAAACTTTGGCTCAAGTTATGTAGCGAAACTTTGGCTCAAGTTATGTAGCGAAACTTTGGCTCAAGTTATGTAGCAATACTTTGGCTCAAGTTATGTAGCGATGCTTTGGCTCAAGCTATGTAGCAAAACTTTGGCTCAAGTTATGTAGCGAAACTTTGGCTCAAGTTATGTAGCAAAACTTTGGCTCAAGTTATGTAGCGATACTTTGGCTCAAGGTATGTAGCGATGCTTTGGCTCAAGCTATGTAGCAAAACTTTGGCTCAAGTAATGTAGCATAAATGAATTTATAAAACAAATGGTTTACTAACCCTTTTAAAATGTGGATTATCTTATAATGGTATTTATTGTTTTAATGACTTACTCCTTTGTATGTTGTGTGTATTTGCCATTGATAATCCCATTGCAGGTAAACAGGGTAGTTGAGGATACTTGGTTCGAGGCTTTAGGAGCTTAGGACTTGAATCCTCTATTTTACCTTTTTGTGTTGTAAAATTGCTATTTGGATGATTGTATTCGTAATCATTTAACTTACTAACATTTTTGTGTAATGCTGGATATTAGTAACTATGGGTATTTTGGAAACCCATAATTAAACATATGCGGTAATTACCGATGAAAGTTATATATGAATTATGTTTTCCGCAATATGAGATATATGTTAACATCATGTACTATAAAGGTAGTTTTACGAAGTGATTATGAAGGAAAATTAGAGTAAGATGTGAAATGTATGTATAAAAGGATTGAAATAAAGGAAAAATTTTCAAGGTAGAATTTGGGTCCTTACAAGGGGAGCATACATATAGGGGGAGCATACCCAAGACAAGTTAGGATATATCATCCAATATGCTACTCTAAAAAAATACACCTTCAAGAAGATATTGGTTTGTCATCATAAAAAGTGGGAGATTGTGAAGAAGATCTTGCTCTTGACCTTGGCACGGTTTTGATGAAGACACCAACATCACAAAAAGAAGAAAGGAAGAAGACCTACCAAGGCTATCGAAGACAAAGCTTCAAGATTTAGAGTCTAAGTCTTTAGGTACTTCTAGCCTTACAACTACTGTATTATCTTAGTTAATAATGTTCAAAATTGTTTTCAAGAAAATCAGAAAAATCAAAGTGTGAATAAAAATAATTTTCAAAACAACATGTAACGGGTTACCATACTTGAGTAACAAGTTACATGAGTGAGAAAAAGACTTATCCATCCTCCAACGGCTAAGAGTAATCCATTATTGTCTTTGAAGTAACAGATTACCATTTTTAGAAAACAGGGTAATCGATTACTCAAAGAAGTGTAATCGATTACATTAAGGCAATTTCACAAAGCTGCTAGACAGTACCTTTGAGTAATCGACTACTCAAATACAGTAATCGATTACACTGTGTGAAATTTGAAAAAACTATTAATGGGATTGTTGGGTAATCGATTACCCACTTACAGTAATCGATTACTGAGAGTTGTTGTATCAGCTTTCAGATTTCAAAGTGAATAGGTTTCACTCAAAACTGATTTGTTTCACTCAAAATGAAACCTACACTTCCCTATAGATGTTATGGTTGATTGGAAGCCTATATAAAGACATTGAAACACTCTCACAACAAAAACAACTCAGATTACAAACTCTCATTAAAAGCTCTCACATTTTCTGAATTTTCTACACTTTTTAAGCAATATACTCTCAAACTTTCTAAGTTATTTCAGAGTTGCTTCTAAGTGCATTCCAAACTTTTTCAAAGTAAAAGAACATTATTATCTATAGTATAAGAGTTGTTTTTGGATTGCAAGTCTAGAATTGTTACATACACTTGTAAAGGCAATCCAAGCCATATTGTATATTTTTCACTTTAGCAAAGTTCACTTTCTTTCACAAGGGTGTGAAGAGAAAGGGGTTGAGTGACTTGGTATAGTGTTTATCAAAGGTGTTACTTAGAATAGGGTTTTCCAATGGATTAATTATGAGTGAGTGTGTAAGGTACAAGGAAATATCGGGATGAAATAATTGTAATTGCAACTCATTATATTTAATAAAGGAATCTCTTGCGAGTCAATAGTATTGGACGTAGCCTTCGGTGGACAAGAAGGTGAACCAGTATAAAACACATGTGTACTCTATCCTCCTTATCTTTGTTATCTTTTCTAAGTCAATATTTTTCTGTATACTATTTCCATTGCACTTTAACTTTGATATTGCAGAAAAATTGATCATCGTTTTGCAACAACTAATTCACCACCTTTTAGTTGCAATCTCATTCTTACAGTTTCAAGCTGGTTAGTATAATGCTTCTATCAAATACTATATATAGACTATTTTTCAATAGTCTTACCATTTTATTGATAACTCTTCATTCAATAGTTATGTCATTCTAACAACAAAATGATATATCCTTTCATATCAGAAAAGATAATTTAAAATTTGAAGATAATTTAAAATTTGGTCTTTCACGTAGAAGACAACCTTTTTAGGGTAGAATCTCGCTAACAGGCTGACTCATCTCTATTTAGATGAGCTCTTGAATGACATGTGAAATAGAATATCAAATAAGTCACTTTAATTATATTTCACCGGATGGCCACACTTTAAAGTTTATAAAAGTGAGTAGCCAATTAAAATATGTAATAATTACTTACTAAATCTCTTCAAATATATTCAGTGATAAACATGCTAAGAAATTTGAAAGCTTTTTGCTTTTTATAATTGTTCATTTTTGAAAGATTAGCTTGAATAAGTAATTAGAACCTATATATTGTCCATTATTAAGTACAATATCAAAATTTTCAAGAATATAATTTTTGTCTTTAACTTCCATTATAAAATATGATAACTCTTGAATATGGCTTGTATTTTATCACCTTAGTTTATAATACATATATTACCTTTTCAACCATAAAAATCATTTCTAGTGATCGCGCCGTTGAACTCTCAATATGTCAAAGACCTGTAATTCTGATTATTCAATTTTCACTTATTCCTTGAAAAGTTTGTCTCCTTAATTAAGTTTATTCTACGCGCCATTTTCGCTAACGATATCATTAAAGTAAGCTAAAACACATGTAATAATTAAATGATAAATAAGAAATGGCTAAACTAGTATGAAAGGTTAAGATTAATGAAGGGGAATAAATTTATGATCATTTCCTCCCTAATGTCTTTTGAGCATTAGAGTAATGCAAATTGTCGTCAAATACTTCTTCGGTGAGGCTTCCTTGGTAGTTGTTGGATAAAGCCTAAAGTAGAACAATGGTGTTGTTGTCTTTTATATATTAATGGAAATATTATAAACGATCACTGTTGGAACTTGTGTAGTTTGATGTCATTAGTTTGGACCTTAGGATGTAAAATTGAAAAACTCACAAGTCCCACATTGGAAGTTTTTGTAAAAACCTCACAAGTCCCACATTGAAAGATTTTGAAAAAATCTCACAAGTCCCACATTGGAGGATGCAAGAGTAGTGACAAAATCTCATTCTATAAATAGAGGCATTCCCCTTCATTCCCCTTCATTATCTTTCTCCCTCCATAAATTCTGCCGACGCAATTCCGACCTCCTTTCTCTCCCTTTCTTTCCGTGGCACTAGAGTTGGAACAAGAATCCAATATTGTGGGAAATTAGGAATACTGACACTAGTAATTAGTTGTTGGAATAGAATTGGCATGAGAAGCTAATATTGTGGGTATTTGGAATTGGCACTAGAAGCCATATTTTTGGGTGTATTCGAGAGCGATTCTTACAGTGCAGTAAGATATCGTATAACAGAAGCTGGGCTGTTTTATCTTGGGGACGGCGTGGTTGATAGTCTGCTTGCACCTAGAGGCAGTACTACGAAACGTCTTAAAGAGAGCGACCTGGTCGTGACTCAGCCAGTAAAGATTATCTCGTGTCATTGTTGCGGGCTACCGATACAACAATTTTAAGACGTCTCGACTGCAATGGCACTCGTAGAAAATATTACTGGTCCGAACAGCTTCGACCTAAGCAAACCATTCAGGTTTGACGGGACTAACTTCAAACGCTGGCAAACCAAGATGGAATTTTTCCTAACGGTTAAAAAGGTTGCCCATGTTTTGAAGGATGATGTCCCAGTGGTCCCTGAAGAAGTTGAGAAAGAGGAAAAGGAAAAACTAGCTATTGATATCGCTCTATGGAATGAAAATGACTACTTATGTAAGCATTTCATTCTTGGTGGGTTGTCAGATGATCTATATGACTATTACATCCCATATAAATCTGCCAAATTAGTTTGGCAAGCACTCAAAAGGAAATATGATACTGAGGAAGTTGGGACTAAGAAATATGCTATTAGCCGCTACCTCAAGTATTAGATGACTGATGATAAATCAGTAGAATCTCAGTCCCACGAGATTCAGAAAATTGCTCATGAGATCATCACTGAGGGTATGCCCTTAGATGAGCAATTTCAGGTAGCTGTTATTATTGACAAATTGTCACCTAGCTGGAAGGACTTTAAAAACGTCCTAAGACATAAGACCAAAGAATTTTCTTTGGAATCTCTGATCATTTGTCTTCGCATTGAGGAAGAGGCTCGTAAGCAAGATCAGAATGAAGAAGTGTTGGCTTTATCAAGCAATAGCACTAGAAAGAAATTCCCAGGTGCAGTTCTGAAGCCTTCGGGCAGCAACTTTAAGAATCAGAACCGCAATGGGAATAAGGCTAAGATCATCGGCCGCAACAAGAATTGGAACCCTGAAAAGGTCCAATATGCTAAACCACCCACTAAGAATGACTCTGGGAACTTATTTATCTGCTTCAAGTGTGGGAAGCCAGGTCATATGGCACGAAAGTGCAAGAACCAACTAGTGGATCATCCTCCACAAGCTAACATGGTTGAGGATCCACTTGTGGCCGTGTTAACTGAGGTCACAATGATTGGAGGAAGTGATGAGTGGTGGGTAGATACTGGTGCATCCCGCCATGTCTGCTATGATCGTGCTATGTTCAAAACATACACGAATGCTGATAACAAGAAAGTGCTGCTGGGAGACTCTCACACCACTATTGTTGCTGGAACTGGTGATGTGGAGCTGAAGTTTATATCTGGGAGGACTTTGATACTCAAAGATGTGATGCATACTCCAGAGATGAGGAAGAATCTAGTATCAGGTATTCTTCTTAATAAAACTGGTTTTACCAATACCATAGGAGCAGACTTGTACACTCCTACTAAGAATGGGGTATTTGTAGGGAAGGGGTATGCCACAGATGGCATGTTTAAGTTAAATGTCGAAGTTTCTATTAATAAAATTTCTGATTCCATTTACATGCTGTGTGATTTTTCTATTTGGCATTCTAGGCTTTGTCATATAAATAAACGTGCTATTTCAAATTTAAGCAACTTAGGATTAATTCCTAAGCTATCTAAAAATGATTTTGAAAACTGTGAATCATGCAGTCAAGCTAAAATAACAAAAAAATCACATAAATCAGTAGTGCGAGAATCTGAGACTTTAGATTTGATACACTCTGATATATGTGAATTAGATGGAACGTTAACCAGAAATGGTAAACGATATTTTATAACTTTTATAGATGACTGCTCTGATTTCACTTATGTTTATCTTATGAAAAATAAAAGTGATGCACTTGATATGTTTAAAGTCTATGTAACTGAAATTGAAAATCAATTCAATAAGAAAATAAAGAAACTCAGGAGCGATAGAGGCACTGAGTATGATTCTAGCATGTTTAATGATTTTTATAAATTAAAAGACATTATTCATGAAACAACTGCACCATATTCACCTGAAATGAATGGTAAAGCTGAAAGAGAGCGACCTGAAATGAAACAACTGCACCATATTCCCGGAAATCGTTTTTTAATTTCAAGTGGGGGATTGATGTCACCCATCCTAGTACTACTCTCTCCCAAGCACGCTTAACTGCGGAGTTCTGATGGGATCCGGTGCATTAGTGCTGGTATGATCGCACCTAGAGGCAGTACCACGAAACGTCTTAAAGAGAGCGACCTGGTCGTGACTCAGCCAGTAAAGATTATCTTGTGTCATTGTTGCGGGCTACCGATACAACAATCACTATGATTTGAAAGGTTGTATTAAATAAATGTAATGAATGTCAAGTTTCCTACCAAACTTAACCAGTGATGAATCAGAGTTACGAAAGAAACATGATTCGAAAAGATATAGTAAATGTGTCACACCATGAAATCAAAACAATAAATACATTAAATAAGATAGATTAAATAGACATCAAATGAGAGTGATTTTCTTTAGGAGACGAATATTGTTTGCACACCTTGCCTCTTAAGGTACAAAAGTAAATCAATTAATGTTTTAAAAAAGAATTAAATTTAAATAAATTATGATGTAGTGTAATTTAATAGCTAAAAAATTATGATGTAACGTGATTTGTTCAAAGTCAATTTTTTTACTTTTCAATTTTTAAATTATATATTTTTATTATGTTTTATGAAGTTTTTATTTTTTAATTATTTATCAATACTCGTGTACATGCTTGCAAGCCTTTTTAAAATAGATAGAGCATGAGAATTTGTCCAAAAATGTTAAGTGGGCATGCATGCACCCGCTTTTGATTTGCAGACATTTTGTGAGTACATGCTAGACATTTTGTGAGTACATGCTAGCAGGTGGTGCTACTCGTTTTCTATCACTAGTTGAGGCTATTTATAGATGCAACAACTAATATGGTTGTTGAAGTTTTGCTGAAAATTATTCTTTAAATTTAAAATGTGTTGAGACTTATCTTCTATTCACCTTAAATTTCTCTTGGATCTATGCAACATCATTAATGTTTCATAGTCGTTATGGCTTAAACATGCAATGCTTTATGGTTGTTTAAGCATCTGATAGGAGAGAGAATAACTGTCGCGTGTAATAGTCCCAAAACTGGCGACAAAAAGCCTTCTTTACAACTTTGCACTAGAAAATTTCCTTTTTATGATAATAAAATGTTTTTTGCTTTCTTAAAAAGCAGATGAACCAAATAAGTATTGTCAAATAAGTATTATCCAATGGATAATTCCTTTCTCCTTTATCGATTCTTGAATTCAATATGTTTTCGAAGTTATGGATGATGCTTCATTTCATCTTGATTCAACTTAGTTGGCTTTTCACATAATGATTGACGACTTGAATTAATGTTTCCCAATTGTTGATGTATCGGTGGATGTAAATGGAAACATTCCTCTTCAGTCGTATGCCAAATCTTAAAGTCCATAATTTAGAAAAAAAATCCATCGAAACACATGACCTTTAATTGTTTTGTCCTTTTCAATAAAAACTAAAACCCAAATTAATCTTAATATTTTTGTGTGTGCAAATTTTGTTTACTTAAAAAACAAGGAAAAATCTATAAAACTCCCTTAAAACTTTATGTTTTTTTGCAAGTAAATATCATGAACTATTTTTTCTTCATAATTATTCCTTAAGCTTTAACTTTTGGTGAAATTAGTCCTTACATAAATATAATTTTAAATTACTAACAATGAAAAATTATTACTTAGTTTGTTTTTAATTTTGTTTGCTATATTATTATTTAATTTTAATTTTTTATATACCAATATTAATCTATTTTTCCCTTTTAATTCTAAATTTTATTTATCTTATTCTTCATCAATTTTTATTTGATGGTGATTTTTCTTGGCATCGCATCGACTCTAAATAACATGCATCAAGGTGAACTTATTGCTACTTTTGTTAGTCTCATGATAAATGTTTCTATGTTCAATTGGCAATTTAACATTATCTTTATGCGGGAACAAATTTCACAAATAAATAAAATTTAAGGAATAATAATTAGAGAGAAAAAATAGTTCGATCATTCTATTTGCAAAAGACATGAAGGTTCCATACAATTTTCCAAACAATGAAAACCAAAAAATAATCTTAAAGATTACAAATAGAATCAAAATAGTATTTGAAATAGACTATAGTGTCCTATATCATAAAAAAAGATAAAAAATTATATTTGACATAGATTTAAAATTGTAAAAATTTAAGTTTGATACTATACAATAAAAAATATAATATCCATGTATTATCAGTGTAAAAATTTACATAAATAATCCTTCTTTGAAATAATAATTAATTATAAATAAATAATAATATACATAACAATTATGCATACATTTTTTCTAAAATTACGGCGCTGGTGAAGAATTTGCGTGTTCCCGTTTTTTAATTTTTCAAAAAATCTATTTACACTATACAGGGTGAGGGAGTGATCGTTCATCTCCAAAGGAAAATATTGCAGTGCACAATCAAATTCCCCGCCAACCAAACCAACGCAAAAGAAAAACAACTTGGAAAGAAGAATGGCGGAGAAGGAAATCCAAGTTCGAACCCTAACCGGTGACTCCATCATTCTTCACATCTCTCCCACCGCTACCGTCCACGATCTTAAGCTTCTTCTCATCCACTCCTTTCCACCTGCCACCAACTCCCCTAATTTCCACCTCTTCTCTAAGGCACACTCACTCCCTCCTTCTATTATTACTCTTTCCTTATACTTCAATTTTTATATCATATCTACTTTTCTCGGTTAGTGGTGTAAGGTCCCGCTGGATACTCGGTAGATTAAAATGTCAATGATTCGATTCTGGGAGGGACAGTTATAGGTAGAGAGTCAAGAGACTCTACGCACCCTGCCGAAAGGGATTAGTTCCTTACAGGGTACCATTCGTTATACTATATATATATATACTCTTCAACTTCAAAACTATTCTAAATGCTTATTCCTTGTTTTTACCAAGCAACTAGGTTTTACCATAAATATGTCAACTTCACAAAAGTAACTTGAAAACACTTGTTATACTATGTTGAAAAGTATGTTTTTTTGGGTACTACCAAGAGTATTCCCTCACCTTATGAGTAAGGAAATAATCCCTTTCGGGTTCATGGTTGTGTCTCGCAACAAGTGTCGCTCCTAAATATTGAACCCTTCAAATTTTTAAAGAAATAACAGTGACAATATCAGGTACTCACATTTGCCAAAATTATGGTTTCAGGGACATAAATTAAGATTGCAGGCTCAGATTGGTTCTTATTCCATCGAACTTGGCGAGTTTCTTGTTTTGGTCCCCTTTACTAAGAAGGAATCAACTCAGGCCAACAAACCGGACCCACTTCAGGCTTCTGTAACTTCCTCGAATGCAACCTCTAATCTTGCTGAATCTACATGGTGCAATATAATGGAGGATTTGTCAAATTTACGTGGTACTACTGATACCGGTCCCTCAAATGCTAATGATGAGGCATCTAATTTTGAGTATTCTGGACCGAGGAAAGAGAAAATGGTGGTGGAGGATACTTGTTCCGATTTTTTTGACCCGAAAACTAAACAAGGTTTTGGTCCTGATAAGCAAATGGAGCTTCCGTATCATCTCATATTAAACACGCTGCAATATACTAGTGAGGGCGTTCTTGGCGAGCATAATTGCGAGGTTTTTTCAAAGGTTTTGGAGCCTTTAAATTGTTTATCAAATCTTCCAATTGGATACTGCAAGTTATTTAAAAGAGCCCGTTTGAAGCGGGGCGGTGGCTCAGGTCTGTGTGCCAGTAATGTTGGTAGTACATGCTTGTGTCCTGCATGGTTGAAGATAGTAATGAAGGCATTTGCTTTCATAAACATTTTTTCTGCATTTCTTCATTTACAGTGTAGGAAAATAACCGTATGTATTCTGGAAGAAGCGCTGAATCAGCTTGGAAAGTTTGGAGTCAAACTTGAACTCCAGGACATGAAAAAACTTTCCATTCTTTGTCCACAGGTAAATTGATTAATTTATGTTTATAATATACTGAGGCTGTAACTGTAAGAATAAATATTGCTACATGAAATAATTATTCCAATTGAATGCCTTCATTTTTGCTAGTACGAAGTCTACATAGTGAAACTTTTTCATCATATTGGATTTTCCTGTTCTAATTTGTAAATTGAATCCTTTGCAGCTAGTATGTTTTGGAAATGACATAGAGCATACAGGATTTGGTGATTTCATTGTTGTCATAAACCATTCAACAAGCAATAACGATCAGATTGAAAATAATCCTAAAAGAGGTATACTGAAGATGTGTACTGTTATTTTGTGGCTCTGCCGTTCTGGAGATATTCTTAATTTCAAATTGGTTAATTTTCTCAATTTTTTTGACATGTTTAATAGCTCGCAAGTGGTTGTATATTTCGAAGATTGTCAGTACATTGAAGAAAAGGGATAGGTCTTTTCGAAATAATCTGTGGATGGCTTTTGAGCAGCTGCCGGTATGTTTGTTTAACATATCAGTTGCATGAATGATCCATTGTGGACTTGTTCATGTGTACTGCAAGTTTGCATTGTGCTTTATATTAATAGATACGTGTTTGCACCTGAACTGAAATTTGAGTGTACAAATAAGTATGATATAATTTGCGTTATAGACAACACATCCACATGCTGAATTTTGATTGATATTTTACTTAATAGTGTGGAGTTACTGTTGCATTTCATAGGATGACCGTTGACAACTCTAACTATCAACTACTTCCATTACAATTACGCAAGGAAACTTTTTTGTTTTTAACTTTTATTGGACATTTATTCTCAATCTGTGGCCAATAACAATTGACAAGAAGTTGGTTATCTTTTACATGCAGTGAGTTTAAAGAATGAGAGTCTTTTTCTTCATTTTGAGCAAGATTTAAATCTAAAAACGAAACCTAAACTGTTTTTCAATTTGTATTTATTAGAAGTAGTAGAACAAGATAATTAGAAGAGAGAGTTGCAAGTATGAGAGAGAACTGAGTAAAGTTCAGAGAGAATTTCGACGTGAATGATAGGAATGTTTTTGATAATATGAATCTGTTATAGGTATTGGCTTATATACCTAACAGTGTAACTGCTATGACAGTTACACATGCTACCAGAATCCAAACTAACTGCCGACTCAGCAGTGAGTAGCTATTAGCTACACAAGCTGTA